AAAAAAAAGGGGGGGGGGGGGGGGGGGGGTTTGAATCTTCACAAGGAAATGAATTGTTCTGAATTCTTGGCTGTTCATCAAGTAAAGGAAAAGCTTTCTGTGTTTTCTCTGTGCAGATCTTTCGGTTCTGTAGGTCTAAGTGCCACAAGAACTTTAAGATGAAGAGGAATCCTCGTAAAGTTAAATGGACTAAAGCATATAGACGGCTGCATGGAAAGGACATGACTCAGGTAAACAGTGATATGCTTTTTGTTGGAAAAAATTTGGTCTAATGATCTTTCTTCTTTTTTGTTTTATTCTATTTTGGATACTGAAAGTTCCTTTCCTGCTGCTAATTTTCATTTTAAGGACTCAACATTTGAATTCGAGAGGAAGCGTAATAGGCCAGAGAGATATGACAGGAATGTAACTGTGAACACTCTGAAGGCCATCAAGAAAATTGATAAAATCAGAGTTGACAGGGAGGAGAGACATATTACAAAGAGGTTCCTTATACTGTGCTTCACTATTTTCCGTTACTTCTAATTTATCATTTCCCTTTTCTTGCTAATAACATTAGTTGGCAAATCATACAGGATGAAAGGAAAGAAAGCCAAGGAGCAGAGAGAAGCAACAAAGGAGCTCGAGCAGAGCATTCACATGGTCAAAGCTCCTTCTGTGCTCGTCAAAGAGCCATCACTTACACTGCCTACCAAGGTCAAGGTTTCGCGAAAGCAGTCAGAGGAAAATCGCATGGAGGAATAAACATTTTGCTTCCGATATTCTATATTTTCAAACTAAATCAGTCCATGCTTATTTTTGCTGTATGTGTAACGTTTTGATTACATTGACATGCTAAGCTTTCCCTTACCTTCAGAATACCTTCAGAATAGTAATGGTTCGTCAACTTAGTCTTGTGTGTATTGAAAAATACAGTAGAAACTTTTGAACTTCCCATATGAGTATTTTGATGAGGAACCAAAGGGCAGATAATATATCTTTCACAAGGTTCCTAGTTTGTCTTGACCGTGGAATTATTATTGCGTTGGGGCCTTGTGTTACCTTTCTCCTCTGTCATCAGAGTCACTTTTATGTCCTTGTTTGATCAACAACTATGTAGTTTTGTGGTGGTTTAGTTTCTACTATTGGCACTTGTGTTTATACATCTTACTGCAAATTATTCAAAACCCACAAATGCCAACAAATTCTAGTATAATAGAACTCACAAATAGAAGTGATAGAATCTCACATGTCTGAGAGGCATTTCAAATAAGAATTTAACTAGTATATACTGGTAATGTAAACAAAATTCAATTTGATAGACTGGAATCCACCAACGTGTGTGCAAGCTGACATAGGAACCATGGCAACAGACCTGAGCAGACAATGCTTGGAGCTTTGAGGCAAGAATTTTTAATTAAAGAATTTCTAATTAAAGAAATTACTGACACAAATACAAAATCTTTTGGCAAAAACTGCTGGGTTCACGTGAATCCATGGATTATAATATTGATCCGCCTTTGCTTGTTACCTCCATCACGAGCATCTTACTCTAAAGGTGCACCAATGCTTGACTAATAAGATATCAAAGGAGCCTGACAAAACGTAATAGGCTGCTACTCTAGGCTTGCGTCACTTCTTCAAGATCCACCCCTTCTTTCGAAAATCAACAAACGACCCTATATGTATATATCAGGTGATGTTCGATCTAACTTGGACAGTTCCATGGAAAACTTCTTACCTTCCTAGCTAACTTTGGATTCATGGACATCACTAGCTTCTGCCATCACCCCAAAATCATGGTTCACCCTTTCGACTCATCGGTAGTGCCTTGACTATCATTTTGTTCCTGGGAGCAGAGAATAGTGATGCATCAGATTACTAATTGAAAATATTGTACAAGGAAAAAGAGCACTAGAGTTAAGACAGAAAGAGAGCACTAGAGTTAATTAGATATACTGCTAGCGGCACTAGACAAACCTTAGAAGTGAACCTCTGTTGTGTCCATTTATTCAGATCATCTACTTTCACCTCATCATCATTGTTCACACTTTTGAGACTCGGTGTACTCACATATATCCCCTGTTGGACAAACGTCTTCATTTCAGGGCAGTCATCAATATACACTTTCTTGAGAAATGGAAATTCAAGAGCATGCTTTGTCAGAAAGAAATGCTCCAGCTTAGGCAGCCCGCGAAGATCCAGCTCTTCCAACAGGGGAAATAAGGGCTCATTAGTCATTTCATCTCCTTGTTGTTCCTCTTTTATGGTCATTTCTTCCATTGACTCACAATATCCTATCTCTAGTACTTGGAGCTTCAGAAGACCTCTGGCCACTGATGGAGACATCAAGTTTCTCAATTTTCCACAATTCCGTACATACAATCTTTTAAGTTTGGTGAAGTAGTCAGTTGGAAGTTGGTGAGAGCATAGAGCACTTATGCTGTTAGCCCCACTGATACATAGCATTTCCAGGTTGGGACAAGAAACCTGCAAGCTTTGAAGTATCAAACTTTGTTGAAGATACAGTTGGAGCTATTGGAAGAAAACACTAGGTCATAAGTGGAGAAGCCAAAAGTAATGGTTTGTCAACTTAGTCTTGTGTGTATTGAAATACCGTAGAAACTTTTGAACTTCCAATATGAGTATTTTGATGAGGAACCAAAGGGCAGATAATATATCTTTCAAGAGTTTTCTAGTTTGTCTTGACCGTGAAATTATTATTGTGTTGGGACCTTGTGTTACCCTTCTCCTCTGTCATCATCGTCACTTTTATGTCCTTATTTTGATCAACAACTATGTAGTTTTGTGGTGGTTTAGTTTCTACTATTGGCACTTGTGTTTATGAATCTTCTGCAAATTATTCAAACCCACAAAAGCCAACAAATTCTAGTATAATAGAACTCTCAAATAGAAGGAAGTGATAGAATCTCACAGGTCTTAAGAGGCATTTCAAATAAGAATTTAACTTGTATACACGGACAATAAACAAACTTCAATTTGATAGACTGTGGAATCCACCAACATGTGTGCAAGCTGACATAGGAACCATGGCAACAGACTTGAGCAGACAATGCTTGGAGCTCTGAGGCAAGAATTTTAATTAAAGAATTTCTAATTTGGGATGCTTTACAGTTTACACCCTCCGCATGATCAAAGAGTTTCTAATTAAAGAAATTACTGATACAAATACAAAGTCTTTTGGCAAAAACTGTTGGGTTCAAGTGAATCCATGGATTATAATATTGATCCCCCTCTACTTGTTACCTCCATCGCGAGCATTTTACTTGCGCTGCTTCTTCAAGATCTGCCCCTTCTTGCAAAAATCAACAAACAACGGTGTAGGTATTAGGTGATGTTCGATCTAACTTGGACTAATTCATGGAATACTCATTACCTTCCTTGCCAGCTTTGGATTCATAGACTGAATCACTAACTTCTGCCATCACTAGATTTGGCTTTGTTGTTATCACACCAAAATCATGGTTCACCCTTTCGAGACTCGGTAGCTTCAGATTCATCACCATTGGTAGCTTTAGATTCATCGTCATCACTAGCTTCAGATTCATCGCCATTGGTAGCTTCACTAGCTTCAGATTGTTCCTGGGAGCAGAGAATAGTGATGCTTTAATTGAAAATATTGTACAAGGAAGTTGACAAACATAAATAAACATCTGAATATTACTATTACTATTAAGTCAAAGAGCACTAGAGATAATTAGTTATACAGCTAGCGGCACAAGACAAACCTGAGAATTGAACATCTCTTGTGTCCATTTATTGAGATCATCTACTTTCACCTCCTTAGCAAAGTTCACCCATTTGAGAATCGGTGTACTCACAGATATTCCCTGTTGGACAAACGTCTTCATTTCAGGGCAGTCATCTATCTTCATTTTTCTGAGAAATGGAAATGTAAGAGCATGCTCTGTCAGAAAGAAATGCCCCATCTTAGGCAGCCTCCTAAGCTCCAGCTCTGCCAAGAGGGGAAATAAGGTCATGATTCCTTCTCCTTGTTGCTCCTCTACTGTGATCACTTCTTCCATTGACTGACAATATCCTATCTTTAGTATTTGGAGATTCAAAGCACCTCTGGCCACTGATGGAGACATCAAGTTTCTCAATTTTTCGCAACTCGTTACTTCCAATTTTACAAGTTTGCTGAAGTAGGCAGTTGGAAGTTGGTGACAACATAGAGCACTTATGCTGTTAGCCCCATTGATGTATAACTTTTTCAAGTTGGGACAAGAAACCTGCAAATGTTGAAGGCCTTGTATTTTATATAAGGGATGAATATTCAATATAACTTAAAGTACAAATCTAAAAATGAGCTATATCTCATCTTACATCAAGGTAACAGGAAGTGAAAAACAGAAATAACTATCTAAAGATTAAAACGAAAAGAGAGCAGTAATTAGTTATACTACTAGTGGCACAAGACAAACCTTATAATTGAACATTGCTTTATTGAGATCAACTACTTTCACCTCATCATCACTGTTCACACTTTTGAGACACGTTGTACCCACATTACTCCCTGTTGGACAAACGTCTTCATTTCAGGACAGTCATTAATCTCCACTTTTATGAGAAATGGAAATTCAAGAGTACACTCTGCCAGAAAGAAATGCCCCAGCTTAGGCAGCCTGCTAAGCTCCAGCTCTTCCAAGTGGGGAAATAAGGTCATGATTCCTTCTCCTTTTGGGATCACTTCTTCCATTGATTCACAGTGTTTTATCTGTAACACTTGGAGATTCAGAAGACCTCTGGCCACTGTTGGAGACATCAAGTTTCTCAATTTACTACAATCCTGTACTTTCAATGTTTGAAGTTTGCTGAAGTAGGCAGTTGGAAGTTGGTGAGAGCATATAGCACTTATACTTTCAGCTTCACTGATGTGTAGATATTCCAAGCTGGGACAAGAAACCTGAAAATGTTGAAGGGATGATAAGGGCTCAACCACAAGACAATTAACACCCACAAAGAAAACACTAGGTCATAAGTTGAGAAGTCAAAAGTGCTTAAAAACTAGGTTTGATTAAAAGTATTATAAAGCAATTATTATAGTTTTAACAGTTAATTTTTGAGAAACAACCCATATAAATACCATTATTTTCAAAATATGAAAGAAATCAATTAAGGTCAAATTACTCAAATAAAATAAATATTTTAAAAAGCATCTCCAAAATAGCATTCTTTAAAATCTTTTAAAAAGAGATAAAATACAAGATGACATGAGAAAATAAATCCACATATATATTAGCTGTTAAATATAATGGAAGACATTTTTTAGGACTAGTTTTTTTATATATATAATAAAAACGAAACTCAAAAGAAAAAGTACAAGCAAGGGGCTATTTCTTATCTTATTAGTCCTATTGAGGTATAAAAAATAAAGAATTTAGAACGAGATGCAGATTCAGAATTTGAAATTTATAAATATCTCTAATGACCTCAGGGTAATATCCAATAACAATCGCGTTCATAATCTAGATATTACTAATACAGATTAAAGTTTCTGGGCAAAAGCTATTAGATTTACATGAACCCCTCGGTTACAATTTTTTAGTTTCGCCTATATTTGTTACCTCAGTCAACATAGGTATCAGGTGAGAAACAGAAATGACTATCTGAGAAGATTACTGTTACTATTAATTATTTGCTAGTTAAAACGGTAAGAGAGCAGTAGACCAGGGGTGTACTAATGCATGACAAAAATATTTATAGTAATTAGTTATACACTAGAGGCACAAGACAAACCTTAAAATTGAACATTGCATTCACCTCATCATCATTGTTCACACTAATGAGACTCGCTGTACCCGTATATACTCTCTGTTGGACAAACGTCTTCATTTTAGGGCACTCAAAAATGATCACTAGTTTGAGGAATGGAAATTTAAGAGCATGCTTGGTCAGAAAGAAATGCCCCAGCTTAGGCAGCTTGTGAAGAATCAGCTTTTCCAATAGCGGAAATAAGGGCTCATTAGTCATTTCTTCTCCTTGGTGTTCCTCTTCTGTGATCACTTCTTCCATTGACTCACAATTTTCTATTATTAGTGTCCGGAGATTCAGAAAGCCTCTGACCACTAATGGAGACATCAAGTTTCTTAATTTTACACAATTCTGTACATCCAATCTTTGAAGTTTGCTGAAGTATGGAAGTTGGTGAGAGAATAGAGAACTTATGCTGTCAGCACTAAAGATAGATAGCTCTTCCAAGCTGGGACAAGAAACCTGCGAATGTTCAATATAGCTAAAAAGTACAAATCCAACTACTTTCACCTCATAATCATTGTTAAAGGACAAATATATCCCAAACTATCACAAATGATACGTACATACCTTCTGTTATACTTTAAGGTTGCATATACCCTTACCGTTACTTTTTTGGGTTGTGTATACCCTTAAAACTAACGGACGGACACGTGGCTTCATCTCAACAATTTACCCGATTTTATTTATTTTTTACCTAAAATTAAAAAATCCACCCATCTTTCATTTACCCACCCATGACCCAAATTAAAACACCATGACATTTTAAATTAAAATAAAAACAAAGAGCCCTCCTCCATTAAAACATAACCCAAAACCTTTTAAATCAAACAAAACACGAAATTGTTCTTCAATACATCTTCATTTGCAGCTTTTTTCAAATCTCATAAAACAAAGACACAGTAGCTTGTTATTTCATTGACAAACAAGAGACCCATTTTAATTTATTGTTCAAATCGATTTGTTGTTGAATGGGGTCGAAAATACTATCACCATTGATGGACGAAACTTCTAGTTTAAAAGTGGGTCTTCAATAGAATAAAAAAATTTGAATTTAAATTGATTTGTTGTTGTTGAAAGGGGTTGAAAATACTACCACCATTGATGGACAAAGCTTCAAGAAAAGTGGGTTTGCAATCAATTAAGAAAATTTTAACTTAAATTAATTAGTTGTTGTTGAAACGGGTTAAAAATACTACCACCATTGACGGATAAAGCTTCAAGCTTTAAATTGAATTTGCAATTGAATAAAAAAATTTGAGCTCAAATTGATTTGTTGTGGTTAAAAGGGTTCAAAAATATTCTTGAAATAGATTTTGATGAAATGAACCAAGTGCACCATATTTTTGTGGTTGTTGTTGGAAAGCTTTTGATATTAATTTTGCACAAAGTTGAAAATTTGTGTTGTTGAAAGCGGATGATTCATTGTTGTTGTCTAAACTTTAAGGAGGATGCATTGAGTTTATTCTAGTTGAAGATTTTTATTTTTTTATTTCTCTTTTTTTTTTTTTTTTTTTTGGATTAGCAAGGAATCAGTGATATTCTCTCACAAAAAAGATGAAGGGTATTTGGTTGTGGGTCGGGTGAATCTTTTATTTTATGTAAATAAATAAAAAAAATCGAGTAAATGGCTACGATGAAGCCATGTGTTCGTCCATTAGTTTTAAGGGTATACACAACCCAAAAGAGTAACGGTGAGGGTATATACAACCTTAAAGTATAACGAAGGGTATTAACATACCATTTGTGATAGTTCGAGGGTATATTTGTCCCTTTTCCCTTAAATTTATGCTCACATAATCAAATTCTTATGTTGTCTATCAATCATTTTCTTCTTCTTTGGATTTTCTCTTTACATGATTTATTTTGCTTTTTTTTTTTTAGTCTCATATCTATTCAAATTCTTTCTTCATCTTCTTTGGATTTTCTCTTTACATGATACACACACTATTGATGCTTTCTTTCTTTTGTTCATGGTTTGTATATGCGTTTCTTAATAGTAGAATACTATATTAATGCTATGATCCTTCTTTATTCTTTACTTTCTAATATAGTTAAGTGATTTTTTGTGGCTGATAATAATTATTTTTGTCTTCATCACTTTTCATGTAATTTTAAAGGCTTTACAAGCAAAAAAAGAAGAAGATGTCGACAGTCAAAATTAAGTAATTCTTTCATTTTCTCTTTATTTTAATTTGTTATATAATTTTAAGATCACAATTTTTAAAGTATTGAAGAAAAGTCATATATAAAAGCTAAGATTCTTTCTAACAGTGTAAATGAGGTGTGAATAAGGATAACAAAGAGTCAAATTTTTCCCCTCTTTTTACCATAATAAATGTAAATATATGATCAATGAGTATTAGATTTATTAATTGTTATTGAAAGTAAAAAAAATATTTCTTTTATTTTTCTCACATCCAACTTTTAGTACTTTTTCTACATCTTCAACGCTACATATACATATTTTTTTAAAAAAAATATTTCTTTGGTACTCTTTAATAATCTCTATATGACTAAATTATGTGTTCAATTTTATTGTAAAAGAAAAACCTCAACAATAGTGTTTCACTATAACAACTTAAATTCTTTCTTCTCGCAATGCATGCTATAAAAATGAAAGTTTAAATATAAAATTTTAATATTAATGAATCTTATGCGACATAAATATGTACTATATGAATGCCAGTACGAGCATCGAATATCGAAAAAAATTAAAAAAATCTCTCCGACTTTTGAGTTTTGTGCATAAGTATGTTCGAATATAATTCAAATATTTTTTTCTCACTATGATTTAGCACAAATATATTTTATTTTGTATATTTTTATCATGCAGTCATTTGTACAAAAAAAAAAGTCACGGAATTTATGATCGAGTAGATTTAATATTTTGGTTGAACCAATAATATTGATATAAGAATCATTAATTTAATATGAAACTATGATAATTAGACGACTGTTACGTGGCTGAAACTTTTCATATCAACTTTTATGTTTTCATCTTTTTTATAAGCTATTTTAAATTTAAAATGCCGCATGATATTTTTTTTAGCAATTTTCCTGAATAGATAATATCAGGCAACTTAATTTGTATTTCTCTCTTTTATTATATAATTTATTAGAATATTTATCAAATCGTGACATTAATTATTTTAATATGTATTTAATATTTTCTTATACATGTGCGAAGCACATACAAATACACTAGTAATATTATTAAGAAGGGTTGGGCAAAAATTATGTATCTTTACTATGTCAGTGTCAATGTGATTGTAACATATAAATTGGAGGGTCAAAAGTAAGAAGAATCATTTGTTGATTCTTTGCTATATATCGATTTTAAGAAAAATGTTTAGCTTGATGACAATTTTTATTGTGTTGGTTCTTAATGATTCATTCTTCAATTAAATTGTATGATTTTCATATTTTTATTGAAGAATCTATTACTACTCTCTAATTAAATTGAATAGTTACTGCATAAATCACTAAGTAATTATTATTATTATTATTAGGGAATCAGAAGAAGAAGAAAACGTGATCTGATTTTCAAAAAACAAAAAAACAAAAATGAAGAGGTAGGAAAATAAGAAAAGAAACGCTGAAAAAAGGAAACGAATAAAAATAAAAGAATTTAAAGAGAAAGTAAAAGAATGAAATAAGAGAAAAGTGCATACGAGATTCATATATTAGATTTGTATTAAAAATATAATAAATAATTTAGTTTAGAAATTTATCAAAATGAATAGAAGGAAATCAAGTTTTATTGAAATTTTTTCTTTCTATTATTTTTAGCAAGAAAAATAAAACTATTATTTTTACTTACAATATATTACATAAAAATCAAGCATTTTAGAAGATTTAAAAACACTTAGATGATGAAGATTCGTAATATATATATATATATATAGTAAGTGTGAATAATATCACTAGTTAAAATTAGAAAACTAAAATATTTTTTTTTGAACAATAGAAAATTCAATTAATTAGGGCGAAGTGGGGATGAGCTTACTGGTTAGTTATATAGCTAGAGGTACAAGACAAACCTTAGAATTGAACATGACTTTATTGAGATCAACTGCTTTCACCTCATCATCATTGTTCACACTTTCAAGACTCGCAATACTCATAAATATTCCATGTTGGACAAACATATTCATTTCAGGACAATCATCAATCTCCACTTCTCTGAGTAATGGAAATTCAAGAGCATGCTCCGTCAGAAAGAAATGCTCCAACTGAGGCAGCCTGCAAAGCTTCAACACTTTCAAGGAGGGAAATAAAGTCATGATTCCTTGTCCTTGTTGTTCCTCTTCTGTGATAACTTCTTCCATTGATTGACAATCTTTTATCTGTAGACTCTGTAAATTCAGAGCACCTCTAGACACTGATGGAGACATCAGATTTCTCAATTTCTCACATTCAGATACTACTAATGATTTAAGTTTGGTGAAGTAGGCAGTTGGAAGTTGGTGAGAGCATAGAACTCTAATCCTTTCAAGTTTTTGTATGTATAGCTCAGTCAGATTGGGACAAGAAACCTGCAAAAGTTGAAGTATCAAACTTTATTGTATTTTGTTGCAGGAAGAAAACACTAGGTCATACGTGGAGAAGCCAAAAGTGCTTAAACACATTTATATATTTTAAAAGAGCCAAATATATACATAAAAAAAAAGGAAACTTACATAAATATACTATATTAAAAAATATTTATCATTTATAGCAATAACATTTTTTTTACTTGATCACTTTCAATATATTTATAATACAATTTTAATACATATCACAGAGAACAATTTATAGATCACATATAATATACGTTTTATTGATGAATAATACATTTATCACACATTTTAATACACTTATAATACAATGTGTCAATTTCTTACCAAACAAGTATAATATATTTAAGAAAATTGTTATAAAGCATATATATTGCACACATAATTCACTTTAAATACATATTATAGATTTATCATAGTATTCTATAAATGGTAATAAATAAAAAATATCGCTAAAATCACTAGTTATTTATTAAAAAGGTACTCATCCAAGTAATTTTTCCTTAAAAAAAATCATATAATCTCGTTTAATATTTTAAAAAGATTTTTAGTAGCTCAAACACTTTATATTTTTTTTTTATATAGTTTCAAATATATACAATAAAGTAATTAGGTTTACGACAAATATAGCCATGTTTTATCAACCAAAATTCATATAAAATATACAATATTGACTATGCAATATAGTTTGATAAAAGTCATAGATAGGATACAATATAATTTACTTATACACGAGCTATACTTTATGATACACTCAAAAAACTGAATACAACTTATTTTGTTCTTACTTTTTTTTTCATATCTATTTATTTACACACACGCGCGCGCATACACACAAAAATGAATAAGAATAAGAAACTCAAATAATGATAAACAAATAGATTTATAAGAGAGATATTTAAAACTTAAATTAGCCGTTGAATTAAAAAATTCAATAAAAATATTCCTATG